CGTTGTCTCGTTTTCTCGTTTTCTCGGCCCCTGGGTCGTGGTTTTGTTTTCTCGGACGCTGGTTAGTATTATCGTTTTCTCGTTGTGTCGGCCCCCGGGTGGCGGTCTCGTTGTCTCTGACCCTGCTTCGTTTTCTCGTTTCCTCGTTTTCTCGGCTCTTGGGTCGTGGTCTCGTTTTCTCGAACCAAGCGTTTTTTGGCGATCTCGGCCCTTGGGTCGTGGTTTCGTCGGACCCTGGTTAGTTTTCTGGTTTTCTCGGCCCCTGGGTCGTGAGTCGTTTTCGCGTTTTCTCATTTCCGCGGGCCTTGGGTCGTGGTTTCGTTTTCTCGGTGCCTGATTCGTTTTCTCGTTTTTGTTTTCTCGGCCCCTGGGTCGTGGTCTCGTTTTCTCTGACCCTGGTTCGTTTTCTCGTTTTCGCGTTTTCTCAGTCCCTGCTGCGTAGTCTCGTTTTCTCGGGCCCTGATTCCTTTCATCGTTTTCGCGCTTTCTCGGCACCTGGGTCGTGGTCGTGTTTTCTCGGGCCCTGGTTCGTTTTCGCGTTTTCTGTGCCCTTGGGTCGTGGTCTCGTTTGCTCGGACTTTGGTTCGGTTTGCTGTTTTCTCGTGTTCTCGGCCCTTCGATCGTGGTGACGTTTTCTCGAACCCTGGCTCGTTGTCTCGTGTTCTCGTTTTCTCGGTTTTTGGGTTTTTGTGTCGTTTTCTCGGGCCCACGTTCGTGGTCTCGTTTTCTTGTTTTCTCGGCCCTTGGGTCGTGGTCTCATTTGTCCTCGGACACTGGTTATTTTTCTCGCTTTCTCGTGTTCTCTGCCCCTGGGTCGTGGTCTCGTTTTCTCTGACCCTGGTTCGTTTTTTGTTTTCTCGGCCCCTGGATCGTGGTCCTGTTTTCTCGGACCCTGGTTCGGTTTCCCGTGCTCTCCGTTTCTCGGCTCCTGGATTGTGGTTTTGTTTTCTCGGGCCTTGGTTCGTTTTCTCGTAGTCTCGTTTTCTCGGACGCTGGTGTGTTTTCTCGTTTTCTCGTTTTCCCGGCCCCTGGGTCGTAGTCTCGTTTTCTCAGACTCTGGTTCGTTTTACGTTTTCTGGTTTTCTCGGCCCCTGGGTCGTGGTCTCGGTTTCTCGGGCCCCGGTTCGTTTTCTCGTTTTCCCGGCCTTCGGGTGTTTGTCTCGTTTTCTCGGGCGTTGGTTCGTTGTCTTGTTTTCTCGTTTTCTCGGGCGTTGGTTCGTTATCTTGTTTTCTCGTTTTCTCGGCCCCTGTGTCGTGGTCTCGCTTTCTCTGACCCTGATCAGTTTTCTTGCATTCTTGTTTTATCGTCCCCTGGGCCGTGGTCTTGTTTTCTCGGACCCTGGCTCGTTTTACGTTTTCTGGTTTTCTCGGCCCCTTGGTCGTGGTCTCGTTTTCTCGGACCCCGTTTCGTTTTACGTTTTCTGGTTTTCTCGGCCCCTGGGTCGTGGTCTCGTTTTCTCGGGCCCTGGTTCGTCTTCTCGTTTTCTCGTGGTCTCTGCCCCTGGGTCGTGGTTTGCTTTTCTCGGACCATGGTCTCGTTTTCTCTGCCCCTGGGTCGTGGTTTTGTTTTCTCTGACCCTGGCTCGTTGTCTTGTTTTCTCGTTTTCTCTGCCCCTGGGTCGTGGTCCTGTTTTCTTGGACCCTGGTTCGTTTTTCGGTTTTCTTGTTTTCTCTGTCCCTGAGTCGTGGTCTCGTTTTCTCGGATGCTGGTTTGTGTTATCGTTTTCTTGCTTTCTCGGTCCCTGGGTCGTAATCTCGTTTTCTCGGACCTTGGTTCGTTTTCTCGTTTTCTTGTTTTCTCGGCCCCTGCTGGGTCGTGGTCTCGTCTTCTCGGACCGATATTCGTTTTCTCGGCCTGGGTCGTGGTCTCGTTTGCTCGGACCTTGGTTCGTTTTCTCGTGTTCTCGGCTCCTGGGTCGTTATCTCGTTTTTTCGGGCCTTGGTTCATTGTCTTGTTTTCTAGTTTTCTCGGCTTTTGGGTTTGTGTTTCGTTTTCTCGGGCCCTGGTTTGTTTTCTCGTTTTTTCGTTTTCTCGGCCCCTGGGTCGTGTTCTCGCTTTCTCGGGCCATGGTTCGTTTTCTCGTTGTCTCGTTTTCTCGGCCCCTGGGTCGTGGTTTCGTTCTCTTGGGCGCTGGTTTGTTTTCTCGTCGTCTTGTTTTGTCGGCCCCTGGGTCGTGGTTCCGCTTTATCGGACCCTGGTTCGTTTTCGCGTTTTCTCGGCCCCTGGGTCGTGCAGTCGTTTTCTCGGACCCTGGTTGGTTTTTCTGACCCCGGTTCGTTTTCGCGTTTTCTCGGCCCCTGGGTCGTGCATTCGTTTTCTCGGACCCTGGTTTGTTTTTTCTGACCCCGGTTCGTTGTCTCGTTTTCTCGGCCCCTGGGCCGTGGTCTCGTTTTCTCGGACCCTGCTGCGTTTCCTCGTTTTCTCAGCCCCTGGGTCGTGGTCTCGTCGTCGGTCGTGCGTCGTCCGTCGCCGTCGTCGTATGACCTCGTCCTCGTCGTGACGACCACGGCGAGGTCATACGAAGACGGCGACAATGACGGCGACGGTGGCGACGATGACGACGAGGACGACGACGGCGTCGTACGATGACGTCGAGCGACGGCGACGGCAACGACGACGGCGACAGGGGAGGATCGTCGACAGGGGGAGCTCAAGTGAAGGGGGTGGTAGTTAAGCCGCTCCTCCCCTTTTCGAAAGGTGGAGAGGGGAGGGGAGTTTCCAGCAGGGGGGAGAAACATGGAGGTAAGGGGGGGGGATTCCGGCAGACGGGGGTCGCAGGAGGGGGGGTAGCTAAGCTCCTCTCCCCTTTCGCACGGGGGGGAGGGGGGGAACTTCCCGGGTGCCGAAAGGGGGGGAGGGGGGGGGGGGCTGCTAAGCCCTCCCCCTCTTTGGAACCAAAGGGGGAAAGGGGGGGGTAGCTTCCAGCAGAGGGGGGTCAAGGGGAGCTAAGCCCCCCCCTCCGTTTGGAAAGGGGGGGAGGGGGGGGTAGTTTCGGAGTGGCGAAAGGGGGGATGGGGGGGGGAGCTTCAGGGGGGGAGGCGAAAAAGGGGAGGAGGGGGGAGCTTCCAGCAGGAGAGGTGGAAGGGAGGAGGGGTAGCCAAGCTAGGTGCGCTCGCGTCATATCTGACATCCTACCCCTCCCTCCCATCCCTTACCATTGCGCAGATCCCCTCTCTACTCGCACAGTCGGATGTCGAGCAGGGCAATGATCCCGAAAGGGTACGCGATGCATTGTAGAGCACGGCATGGCATGGCGTAGAAGGGCACCGCAAAGCGTAGTATCAACCTAGCATTGCATTGCACGCCGTGGCATGGCACGGGAAATGACGCCAGCGCTGCAGCGGGAGCGCGAGTCGAAACGAGCGGAAGCGCGGAGATGAGGCCAGCGCTGCAGCGGGAGCACGATTCGGAACGAGCGAAAGCACGGGAATGAGGCCAGCGCTGCAGCGGGAGCACGATTCGGGACGAGCGGGGCCCGAAAATGAGGCCGGCGCCTCAGCGAGAGCAGCATTTTGGGAAAACATGCAGGCGAAAACCCAACTCCGGCGAAACCTGTGTGTAAAAAACACTACGCGGGGGGGTCGGACTTTCCCAGGCCGTCATCAGGGGAAGAGGGAGAGTAGTATTCATATTGAGTAATTGTTAAGGGGGGAACCCCCTCCTTCGCTCTGGCGCTGTGGGCGCTCTCTCTCCAAGATGTGGTTCTCGCCTCAGCGCCGTGCACATAGTTTTAAAACATGTGCATGAGTTTCGCGGATGTTCTTGGTTAACCTTCCAGAAATAATGTTTTCGAGTGATTCAGGATTGTCTGGGCGCAACAGTTACGTTGATTCGCGGTGTTGAAGTCCCAGGAATGGTGTTCTGCACGATTTAGGATCGTGATGCATCAGGCAGGTTGTTTCGTGGCGTGGAAGTCCTGAGAACGGTGTTCTGGCGCGCCTCAAGAGTTTCACACAATTGTCTCCCAGTGGGGCACTTCTCTCAGTGGAAGTGAACCTTTGTAGGGGCCTATGAAGAGAGAGCTATGAGGGACGGTGTATCCCAACATCGCTGATGGGTCTGAGTCTTGGGTTTACACTTGTCCTCCTCCTCCTCCTCCTCCTCCTCCTCCTCCTCCTCCTCCTCCTCCTCCTCCTCCTCCCCCTCTTGCTCCCCTTCCTCCCTTTCCTCCTCCCTATCCTGCTCCTCCTCCTCCTCCTCTTCCTCCTCCTTTTCCCTTTCCTCCTCCACAATTACTCAATATGAAAATACTCTCCCTCTTCCCCTGATGGCGTCCGGGTGATGGCCGCGCACCCTCCGCGTATTGTTTTTTTACACAGGATCCCTGGGAAATCCCGGGAAACGACTCTCGCTGAGGCGCCGGCGTCATTTTTTCCCAAAATGCTGCTCTCGTTGAGGCGCCGGCCTCATTTCTGCTCCCGAATCGTTCCGAATCGTGCTCCCGCTGCAGCGTGGGCCTCATTTTCGGATCGGTGTTTGGCCTCCGTCGTTCAGGATGGCGTTCTCGCCCCAGCGCGGGCCTTTTTCTCGCGCGCCCATCCGCCCGCCACCACCGCGCCGCACCGCCACCACCACCACCACCACCACCACCACCACCACCACCACCACCACCACCACCACCACCACCACCACCAGCACCAGCACCAACCACCAGCACCACCACCACCACCACCACCACCACCACCACCACCACCACCAGCACCACCACCACCATCACCACCACCACCACCACCACCACCACCACCACCACCACCACCACCACCACCACCACCACCACCACCACCACGACAACCACGCACACACGCACGCACGCACGCACGTGCACCACCACCCACTACGCACGCGCGCGCGGAGCCACAGGTCCGCTACGACACGCGTCCGCGGATAGAGAAAATCAGCGCCATGGTAAGGGATGGGAGGGAGGGGTAGGACGTCAGATATGACGCGAGCGCACCTAGCTTGTCCTCCTCCTCCTCCTCCTCCTCCTCCTCCTCGCAAGGTGCGGATGGGCCCAGGGAAGCTCGAGAACAGGTCCAGGGGAGGCAAGGACCACGCTGACCTCGTCCTGCTGTACGAGCCTGGTGGGGGGATGGCGTCGGGCGGCGCTGGCTTACGCTGCACCTTCGGGGGGGGGGGACTTCGCTCAGCAGCAGCGTTGGTGGGGGACCCCGGACCAGGGGGGGCAACCCAGATCAGGCTCGAGGGCAGAAGTTTTCCGGCGTTTTCGTCGGTCCTCGGCAGTATTTCAGCTTCGGGGTAGTCCCCAGCAGCTGCGCCTCACCGAGAGACGTTCAGGGAGTCCCGAAATGCCGCCGGAGGCCCGAGTTGTGACCCGAAAACTACCAGGGGATCGGTTCAGAGCGGATCGCCCACTGATCGCCGAGAGGGGGTCTGATTGCCCAACAAGCCCAGGACAGTTCGGTTTCTCCCTCGAGGATCCATCGCCTACCTGTCGGATATGTTATCGCCGATTCGGGGTCGATGTTTGCCCTTCGGAGCTGGTTCCCCCACCCCCCCCAAACGTTGCCCCACAGGGCGGGGGCTCGGCTTGCGCTGCGGGCCTCCGTCCGTCCTGCGAGGGGCGGTCTTCTCCTCTTCCTCCTCCGCCTCCTTCTCCTCCTCCTCCTCTTCCTCCTCCTCCTCCTCCTCTTCCTCCTGCTGCTCTTCCTCCTCCTCCTCCTCCTTCTCCTCCTCCTCCACCTCTCTATCCTCCTCCTTATCCTCCTCCTCCTGCTCCTCTTCCTCTTCCTCCTGCTCCTCCTGCTCCTCCTGCTCCCCTCCTCCT